CAAGAAACCCTGGGTGCCACTTCCAGGAAGATCAGTCTGGACTTCACAGCTGATGACATTGTGTATCGGGGGACCCCAGATGGTGAAGGGTCAGGAATCACCAGAGCTGTACAGACCCACAGGGTGGGGGATGTGCAGGTGAAGGGGGAGCAGGGGGGACCCAAAGGGGGTTGATAGAAAGGGGTGTAAGTGGGGCTGGCCAGGACGCTTGTCTGGCTGAACCCCGTGCCTGATCACTGCTATCCGTTCCAGCTCCTCATCCCTTCTTCTTACATCTTTTCTTAAGCATTTCTCTGCATCTGCTCGCTCTCTGTCCCCTGAAGAACTCGGTGCCAGCTGCTGGCGAGACCTGTGTGGGTGGGAGGGGAATTGGGTGGCAGCTCCTGGGGTAAGAGCAGGGGGTTGGTGCCCTTGCCCTGTGGTTCCAGTGACGGGGGCAAGCGGGGTCTCCATCTCTGCTGCTGGAGCCAGGGGTGGGTCTTTAACCCCCAGTTAAAAGACTGCACTGGGGCAGGAATTGTGTCTGTTCCCAAAACCAGCTGTGGGGGGGACAGGGGAGTGAGGAGCTGGGGTCACTGCCCATGGGCCTGGTGCCAGCTGTGGGGGGAGAGTCAGCATCTTCCCCAGTTCTGGGATGACTGGTGTGCCCGTGCGTATTCACTGGCAAACTTTAAGCTGGACTGGCTGGTGACTAGGGGGGACTGGGGGGTCCAGGCTAGGGTTCTCCTAATCCATTTGCTATGCAATGTATGTTTTTTGCAAAAAAAAAAAAAAAAAAAAACCAACCCAAAAAAACAACCCAAAAAACATTTGCCCTCTAGTGTGGCTTGCTGACATAGGCTTTTCTACTCTGTAAATGACAGAAATCAAGTCAGTGAATGAATCAGCAACGTGAGTGGATTCTGCCTCTGCTAAACAGAAAGAAAAAAATGTAGCCAGGCAACCACATTCTTATGTTGGCTGCTCAGAGATTATGCCTCCCTCACTAACTCTGCGGGCTGTGTCAGCAAAGAAAAGCAAGAGAAGCACAGTACAAAGTGTTCCAGGTGTCAGTCCCCACCATTTTTGGTGACTTGTGAAGAGTAGATGGCTATACTGGAGTAGACCGAGGCTGTTCTGGGAGTCTGCTGTTTTGGCCAGCGCCTAATAATAAAATCATAGAATCATTTGGTTGGAAAAGACCTTTGAGATCATTGAGTCCAACTGTACCTGTCCACTACTAAACCAGATCTCTGAGCACCTCATCTCCCCATCTTTCAAATCCCTCCAGGGATGGGGACTCAACCACTTCCCTGGGCAGCCTGTTCCAGTGCCTGAGAACCCTTTCAGTGAAGAAATTTTTCATCATATCCAGTCTGAACCTCCCCTGGTGCAACTAGAGGCCATAATCACAATTACAACACTGATGGACATATAAGTCAAAGGAATTTTAAGATTCACATGTGCTCATCAGATGTACAGGCCACTGAGAAGCTCATAAATTACTGATGAGTCTTCTTCCTAAAAGTAATCTCCACCTATGTAGACTGCACAAACTCACTTTAGTCTTCCTGCTGTGCTCTTGAGTGCTGGTAACGGTTTAAAAAGGATCAGAATTGTACTCAAATTACCAGCTGGACTAGTATCCAATGTACTCCTGGAATTTCAGTCACAAACTCCAGCTGGTACATTATGTATCCCATATCTATCTTGGATGTGAGGGTACCAAACACCTATTAAAAAAATAAAGCTGTATCCTTTTGTTTCTGCAGATTTTAACTTAAAACCAAAAGTTTGCACAAACTGCCTCTGTAAATGAACTGGAATAAAGACAGACACTCTCCCACACTGCTTTGGATGGAATGAGATCTGTTCAGCAATAACTGAGCATACACCCAAAAAGCAAAGCTGGCACAGGAGGAAAGTATGATACAGAAACAAGATCAGCTCACAATGAAGTGTTGCGCCCACGTGAAAACATTCTGCCACAAGAATAATTTAGTAAGAAAGCCTTACCTCAGATCGAGACACCTAACAGAATGACATGCTCTCTTGCACAGGTGTAAAAAGAAAATGGAGCATAAAGTTTCACTACATGAAATGATAACAGAAAATAGCAGGTTTCTGTCCCCAGAATCAGAGGAAATCCCTTTTCCTTCCTTTAATGCTTCATAGTCCAAGAAATTACTTTCCTCCCTTCCTTCCTCACTGTTCCTTTTATTAAGTCCAACCATTTCTTGTATCAGCTGCTTGTAGAGTTCTGGACTTTGCTTGCAATAATAATCTCTCTCCCATTGCCAGCAAAAGGACGGCTACTTTACAGATACCATCAGGATCCAGATTCATCAGCACAAAAATGGGACATGGGAAAGCAGAACAGGACATTAACAGAAGAGCTGACACTACAATTACACAGCGATTTGTTAAGATGAAGATTCTGCCATTCAATTTAGGTGAGTTAAGTAGTAAACAAGACACCATCTCACAAACAAGGGGAAGAGTCACCAAGATCAGTAAACACTGGTATTTTGTGTTCATGAGACACTAAAATTAAAGAAACCTCAGTTTTCTAACTAAAAAGGTCAGTGCAGACCTCAGAAGAAAGAAAAGACCAAATCAAAGGAACAACAGCACATACATTTTATGAAACTAACAAATGTATGTTCTGTAGAATGCTGTATATGAATAAAAAGAGTCACTAACAGACAAATTCCCTGCATGATTTGCTATATTTTACACAATGTGGGGAAAAATGTGCCTTTTCTCCAGCTAGCATAGTGGTGAATCAAACGCAAATCATGTCTACAACAGTAGAACCTAGAGTTCCCAGTTGGGATCAGAGATCTTCCTACTTCCTGCTGTGCCAAAATAAAGGAAAATGCATCTCAGCCTTAAACAGTTTACTAACAGAGGCAAAAGGAAAAGCTGCCATGAAATTATAGATACAGATACCCAACTTGTGCAAGACCCACTGACAGGCAAAGATCACGGCACTACGGAGAAGGCAGAGATGTTTGCGTTCTCAGCTACATTGCTAGAGCCGTAGTCATATTCTGCTCCTGGTTCCATTGGTTTGATATGATTTTGAGCAGACTTGGTCATGACAGTGCAGTGCCTTTTAAATACCACACACGTTAAACAGAATCAGAGAATCACAGTAGTTTGAAAAGACCTTTAAGATTACCAAGTCCAACCATAAACCCAACACAACCAATTCCACCTCTCAACCATGTCCCTGAGCACCTCATCTGCCCGTCTGTTAAATCCCACCAGGGAAGGTGACTCCACCACCTCCATGGGCAGCCTGTTCCAATGCCTGAGAACCCTTTCAGTGAAGAAGTTTTTCCTCACATCCAATCTCAACCTCCCCTGGTGCAACTTGAGGCCATTTCCTCTTGTCCTGTCACTTGTTCCTTGGTTGAACAGACCCACCCCCACCTCTCTACACCCTCCTTTCAGGGAGTTGCAGAAAGCCAGAAGGTCTCCCCTCAGCCTCCTTTTCTCCAGGCTCAACAACCCCAGTTCCATTAGCCGTGAACTCATCCCACTTGTGCTCCAGACCCTTCCCCAGCTCCGCTGCTCTTCTCTGGAGAGGCTCCAGTAGCCTTTTATCCAAAAAGTCAATTGACATTTCCATGACAGACCAATGCAGATCATTGTACATCTGCCACATTTCTATACTGTCTCTATAGGGATTTGTTACTGGTCATAGCCAAAGCAGCAGCCTGGAAAGGCTTCCATTTAGACCCTGTCTCTTAGTGTTCCTTTGGTCCTTTAACAAAGACTAGGGACACAATTTTGTGAGAAATTGTTTAAGATTTCAGTGTATTTCACTGTAACAGTTCCTTCCTCAAGCTCTTCATGGATTTAGCTGCTCAGGTTTGTTCTTTACCCAAACATTGTCTCTTCTGCTCTTTCTATGCTTGAAAAATAGTCTTCAATTTTACAACTATACCAGTTATGAAAACCTGACCTGCACAAATGTTATTGAAACCTTTCCAGTAAAGGGTTTAAAAATTAAAGGATGGCTTATTTTGAAATTTTTGTTGTTAGATGCACAGTATTCTTTTCAGTAAAGTTAATCTAAATGTTGTCTTCAGTAACAGCAACTACATGAGCACCTAGTGCTTCTTAAACCCTGAGCAGGCAAGAATCATAGCAGCATAGCTGTGTGAATGGATACTATAGCTAGGGGGCCAAAATCCTATAGAATAAGAACTCGGAAAGGTGTAGGGCACTGCTGATATCCCAACACCAAACTCAACACTTACCTACCAAACAATTAACAACCACAAGAGCTTATGGGCATCATCTCCATCAAAACCAAAGCTCAAATGCTACTGCAAGGGTTTTGTCATCTTGCAAGTAGAGGATTAAAGCTTTGCAAAGATGTAATTGAAGCTTCCACTGAAATGGATGTGAAGTTAAACATAACAGCTTTGATGAACTTTATAGCTCCTTCATCAATTTTCTCCAGATGGATTTTTTTTTGTAGGTTCAGAATCCAAAATAAGAGGTCTCCAAACACAAAGCAGCATGTACTACACAGAACACAGACACACACACACACACGTAGCCAAGTCCCCTGTGTGGTTTTTCATTGTTGGTGGTTTTGTTATGTTTAAGTTCTACAGACAATCTTTATAAAGTATTAGTTTCATCATATGCATACTGTATTACAGGTGTTCTACCACATGAATAAATACTTGTAATATATTAAAAAAAATCAGAACATAACTCTTGCCTTTGAAAACTTACCAATGCCCAACACAATTAAGGCTCACTAAGCAATTTCAAATTTGTAACAGTCTCTACATTTGAAAAATGCATTAGTAAAGTTTTTAAAGAACAGTTTGATAATCTCTCTTAAATGTGTAACAGTGTCCCTCCTCCATAAATATATGCTAGCTTTTCTTTCACCACTCTCCTTTCACACTCCATGTTTTTCTATTGTTGTCTTTACAAAAGGAATAAAAGTATCAAAAAGAGACAAACAATGCTCAGTTCAGCTCCTTCCGAACTTAACAAAATTCTATTAAATACTCAGGGTAGATTTGGTTGGCATCAAAGATAACAAAGATCTTTGGGTTCCAGGTATTATCCACACAGCTGTCGTACAAGTTCACAAAACTTCCATCTTTCGAAGGAGGCCTCATGTATTTTGAATCACCGTTGATATAGTCACCAGTTATTACACGAGCGAGAAACATGACTTTATCTGGTCTATGCAGATGAGGCTGCAGATTCACACCATGGATTTGAAAAGTGTCTCCATGCTTCATGTCCTCTTTGCAGAAGCGACTGGAATATGATGCATCTCTTGCGAAATAGGTGCCTTTCAAATAAAAAAAAAAAAACCCAAACCTGATTACATTTTGATCATGACAGCTTAACTACCATAGCATGGATCAGAATGATGAAAGGTGCCTGTTGTTTTATGTTCATTAAGCAACACCATTTTTTTCTTTTTCCTAAATTATTAGATTATAGTAACTTGACCAAATATGTTTAGTGGGAACATTTTAATAGGGAGATTTACTTGCTTTGTTGGGCATCCCTTGCCCACGCTCCCTGGTCCTACCATCCAGTTGTGCCAATCACATTTCTTACAGCATCTTAACTTTTTTAATCACACTTGATGTAAAGGCAGAGCTAGATTAAACTCTTGGATAAACACAGGGAGGACATCACAAAGAACATACTGCAGGGAACACTTCACAATGTTAAGACTGTTAAGATTACCGAACTGTTGTACGTGACAAAAATACCGACCTTTTCCGTAGACAGCAGCGTGCATCCCATTTATTCTCCAGTCAAAGTTATGAATACATATTGCTTCTACAAATTCATTACTGGTGCCATGAAACAACATCTGCTCATTAATAGTTGGGACCCCTCTTTTCTTCTTGAGTTGAGCCTTTTTCCTACAGAGAACACATAATACAGGATTACAAACATCTCTACAATGAAGTTACTACTCTAACACCGCAGAGGGAACAGACCTAAAACACTCCAAACCTTCCACTTCTACAAGTGTCCTGAGGATTCTGGTTTTTAAACAGATCAGAATTCTTAAGGTATATGTATAGAAGTCAAATACGTCTGGATCCTGCGGACTATTTTCAGAAAGAAACGTCTTTTATACCAATTTTATCAACATTGTTCATTTGGCATTAGTTTTACTGTGGTCATTTTCTGCAGACACATTTTTAAAAGAAAGGTGTTTTTCTCCCATTTTGTTCCCTCCACCTACTTAAAAAGCATGGTGAGAGAAAGAACAAAGTTAGTGGATTATAAAGTATAATTATCCAGGTAAACCAGCAAAATTATTACCTAAATTTTTAGATAAAATTACTTCAACATGATCATTACATAATGTTTTTCTGAACTTATGTTTTTTGTACTTTCTAAAAGAGATAAGCCATGCATTTACAGGGTTACATCTGTCTAGAATTTTGAAAAAAACCCAAACAAACAAACAAACCCCAAAACATTATTCTACAGGTGAACCTACATTACAGTCTCATGGGCAGAAGGCCATAGCACACCTTCAGTTAAATAACAGACATTTTCCATCAATCTTTTTTAAGTGACTTTTTGCCAGTGGGGTTTTCCTAAGATCCAGCTGACTCTGGAGCTAAGTCTAATCACTGAGCTCTTCATAATAACGATCCTTTGACTGTACAGACAAAAACAAGTTGAAAGGGCAAGTGCCGAATTTTGCACCTGGGACACGGCAACCCTGGCC